ACACCAGAATTGCCCAACCTGTTCTCAAAAAGTACCAGATGCCATATTTGGCTTTTCCTAACTTGCATTTCCTGCCTCTCAATGCCATCTTCTCGTCCTGCTGTAACAGTTGAAGCAAGAGAAAATTGCCATTTCTCTCAGGGAGCCAGTAGTGAAAAGGGGGGAGAGGAATAAGCAGCTGGGCAGCTCCTGTGTCCTCTTCCACAATTACCTGTGGGAGTGGCCCCTTTGATGGCCACCCTCTGGCATCTGATGGTGGGCAGAGTTCCCTTGGATGAGCCCCACCAAAGTGGGGAAGGAAAAGCCTTTGGCAGAAGGCCCCTTGCCCTCTTTCAGCCTCTTCCGCTGATTCCTGGGGAGTCAGTGGGGACGTTCAGCCCCTCTTAAATCTGCTGCTTGGGTGCATGATGGTTTTGAAAACAGCATGGCTGCCGAGGGGCTCCTCTTTCACTACAGTTTGACCTAGCAACCAGTTTGCCTGTCCACCTTTGTCCTGAACATGCTAGCCTACATGTTGCATGGATGTGCTCCTAGGCTGAGTTCACACACGGAGCACACGTGCGCACTGCTTCACTTCGCGGCATTGAGCGTATTCACCCAAGCGCAGACTAGATGAGCCGCGTTCTTCCATTGCTCCTTAGGGCTGCAGGGTCCAGCTCCTGCTGGCTGAGAGGCCGTGATGGGCCAGTTGGCCTCTCTTCCCAGGGGAAGCAAGTGGGTCTTCTGCCTGCCAGCTGGCAAAGTTTCCTCGGCCTTCGGATGGCTTTTATTTTTATCCAAAACAGTTTTGTGTATCTTAAAAAATGGTCTCCTTTTGTTCTCAAACAACTTGCATGCTTGGTCTAAATGTGGAGACAACTGAGAATCCCCAGGTTGTTCTAGATCCAACCTAGAACTAAGGAGAAATATCCTGACAGGGAGAACAATTAATCAGTGGGACAGCTTGCCTCTGAAAGTTGTGGTGCTCCATCTCCGGAGGTTTTTAAGAAGGGACTGGACATCCATTTGCCTGAAATGATAGAGGGTCTTCTGCCTGAGCAGGGGGTTGGACTAGAAGACGTCCGAGGTCCCTTGATATTCTCTGTTCTCCGTTCTATTTTTCAAAAGCTCCAGATCATCCTTTCATGCAGATTTAAAGGCAACATGCAGGAGAGCTTAATTTAGAACAGTGCTGTCTGTGGCCTCTCCTTTGGGAAGTGGGAGCTGCTTGCACCTCACAATGGTGCCTTTGCCACCCTTGTCTGGGCTGTTCCCCCAGGAGAGCTCATCTGTTAAAGGCATCCTCGTGGGGGGGACTGTTTGGTGCTAGCCCCCTTCTCTGTTTGCTCTGCAGGGTGCAAAGCAGGAGACCTCCCCAGCTGCCTGTGGCTTTTTCCCTTTGCCTGCTTGTAATGAGAGACACAGTTTGTGCATTGTGCGGCTCTTCCTGGGCTGCATGCAGATCTTCTGCCTTCATCATCAGCCACCTGTTTGCAGACTCCTCCCCCATCCTGCCCCGCCCTCATCTTGGCTTTGCTGTTTTGTCTTATGAAAATCATCCAAAATTGCAATTTGAGCTTTGCTTCCTGGGGATTTTTGTGTATTTCTGCTTTGTGGCTAAGTTTTCACAGCACAGAGGTGGGTCAACAGCAGATGAAGAGGGGTGATCAGTCAAGTGACCCGGCTTCCTCTGTAGTGGTCAGTAGGAAGAGGCAACTGGTCCCACCTCTCTTCCCATGGCTGAGCTGACACTGGAGTTGAGCTTAGCGCCCTGACATTCACCTTTTTTTGTGCTGGCTGATTATGATGCTTGGGTAACCCACCAGCACCCCTAACTCAGCTGAGCACCCACGCTGATGGGCTGGCAGGCTTGGGAAAGGAGTGGGTGGCAGTGGGTCCAAGCAGACAGAGTCTCTACAGCCATAGAGCCAGTGGTGGGATTCAAATATCTGAACAATAGGTTCTCTGCGTGGATGCAGGTCTGGGTCTCCGAGGCTTAGAATGGATTTCCGGAAGTGACATCCATGCACTTCCTGTGGGCCATTCTAGGCCTGGGAGGCCACCTCCAGGCATCCGAGGCCTAGAACGGACTTCCAGAAGCAACGTGGGTTCAGCTGGTTCTCCGAACTCAACAACATTTAGCTACCGGTTCTCCTGAACCGATGCGAACTGGCTGAATCCCACCACTGCATAGAACAAGCCAGGATCAACTCTGGGCCCATGCGCAGAGTCAGCCTGAAAACCCCTTGACCTTCAGGGACCTTCGCATCCAAGGCATCCCAGCATCATTTTGCATTTGGGAAATAAGAACAAGGGAAGCAACCTCATAAGATTTTACAGGTAGTTCTTAACTTACGACTGGTATTTTAGTGATTGTTCGAAGTTACGACTGACCTGAAAAAGGAAATTTATGACCTGGATTTGAAATTCTGACAGTTGGGCCCCCTCCGCAGTCACATGACTGAACTTCAGGCTCTTAGCAACATGGACCCATTTTTGTCCATTTGCATCCGGTGGTCATGCGACAACATTTTACGACGGTGATGTAAAAACAGGGCCTTGTGATGTGTGGCAAAACCAGGCCTGTAGTAAACCGTTGGTTCACTGAATGACTGCAGTGTTCGCTTAATGACTGCTCCCAAACTATCCCAAAATCATGTGACTGTCCTGTTTTACAATCATCATGACATATGACCGTAATGGGCTGGTTCCTTTACTGCCATCTGTTGAGGACTATAATAGATTTAATAATTTTGGAATAGAAATTTCTCTCTGTTTTGGTTTCTCTCACCTCTCTTCTCGCTGCCTTTTCCTGTTGCTGGTCATGTCATTAATCATTTTCTTCCTCTTGGACCTGCACCCTTGTTTTCCATCTTGAGGAAATGGCTAGAAACATTGGCCCAGTGGAGCAGGGTCCTTGTTCTCCCCAGGCAGGAGCAGAGAAGAGCTGGTGAGGAAACACGTTTTTTCTTTTAAATGCACATATCTTACTGAAATGCTGCAAATGCCTCATAGCGCTAGAAAGGATTCATGCCACAGATTCATAATTAATGAATATGCCATTCTCTCCTAGTGCAAATGCATTATAAATAAGTTATAGTAGTAATGAAACAGACAATGGGGGGGGGTAGAGCATTTCTGCCCTGAATGTAATTCCCTGAGGATGCACGTTGGTGGTGAAAGAGGGGAGGGGTTTAGCTGGCATTGGCATCAAGCTGGTTCCGAAATCCATCCCTGCTCTGCTCCACCTCTAGAGGGTTTGGTGTGTGCACGTTTCCTCTTGTTTTGTCCATTGGCACGGGGTGAGCTGTCAGGCTTGAAAGATCTGGACCACACATGAAGTTCCAATTAAACTGATTTATTACTCAACATGTACACAAGAATGCACAATAATCTATTCAACTAATGGTTAGTGTTATCTTGATGCAATGGAATTCAGGAGGGGCTGTTCCATTTGTGGCTACCTAGAGACTCTAGGCTGATTCCTCTTTTGACTCTGGCCCCAGGCTCTGTTGTTCTCCTCCTCCTCCTCCTCCTCCTCCTCCACGAGCTGGTCTTTGCTGAGCCTGGGAACATACTCAGCCTGGTGAGCACCTGCACCCTATGCAATAGCAATAACACTGGGACTTATATACCGCTCCACAGAGCTTTATAGCGCTCTCTGGGTGGTTTACAAATGTCAGCATATTGTCCCCAACAATCTGGCTTCTCATTTTATTGACCTCGGAAGGATGGAAGGCTGAGTCAACCTTGAGCCAGTCAGGATCGAACTCCTGGCTGTGGGCAGTTTGCCTGCAATACTGTATTCTAACCACTGCGCCACCACGGCCCTAGTACAAGAATAGGGACACTCCCCCTACCAGCATGTTTTGGGGAATAGATGGGTAGCCACCTGATAGGGATCAGGGTCATGGCAGAGCTTGCCCCTTGCCTGCCTTCTCTGCTCTTTCCCTGCTCTGCCGGTGCCTGGAGGAGCCCTGCTTTGGCCAGCCTGGTGCAGCTGTTGGTCTCCCTGGCTTAAGTGGGCTTTTAGCAGCTCCTTTGGCTTCACCAACCCCCCTCCCCTCTCCAGACCTCAAGCTGTTGATTTCTTCTTCTCTATCCCTTTCTGAGGGGGGAGGGGCACTGCAGTTGGGAACCTCTAAATTTCCTTAACAGTTTACTAGTGCCAGATCTTTCTACTAAGAGGCCTCCACTGTAGGGGACCATTGCTGTGGTTTTGATGAAAATCTCCCAGTCTGGCATCCTTGGCTGGCTGGAGCTGCTGTCCAGCAGTCTGGCCACTCGGGGCTGGCGGGGGAGGTGGGCAGCAGCTCTGAAATGTTCAAGGGGAGACTTGGATTTGTGCTGGACTCAACCTGAGTTTGGGTTAGGGTTACGGTCTCTCTTCCACCCTTGGAGCACATCTGCCTGTTGCTGTCCTGGGTGGTGGGAAGGACCAAGGTGTCCCTGAGAGGCATTGGGAGGCCAGTAGGGTTGCTACTGGCATTTGGAGGCCAGTAGGCTTGCATGAATTGCAGGGGATGGGGGGGGGTGTTTGTTGCCTTGTCCTGGGCTCCCCAAAGACTTCTGGTCACTTAGAATAATCCATAAAACAAATCACTGGAAACAGATTATACAGTTAGGCAGTCATCGGTCCCTCCTGGTGTTTCCAAGGCTAACTGTGTCCTATAGTAGATACTGGGATCTGTTTCATCAACCCTGAAGGTCTTCAGAATGGGGGTCATTTGAATGTTTAGGGATCCATATGGATGGATCAGAGCCCTCCCCAAAATCCGTGCCTGGTCTCCCCCATCCCAGTCTCATGGCGGCTCTCCACGTGTCAACTCGGGAAGAGGGAGCTGGGCTGGCCTGGAGGAGGAGGGGGCACAAGGTGTTGTAATAATACCTTTTCCAAGAATACCGCCTGATGATTTCTGGTCGTCTGGGGGGGGGGAATCAGATGGGAAGCATCCTGAGGGCGGGGGGGGGTTGTGTTCCCCGGGTGAGGTTCCTTCAGCCTCTGCGCTCTCTCTCCACAGAGCATCGTTTCCAAGAACGCCTTGCAGTTCCGAGGGAGCTCGCAACACGATGCCCAGGAGTTCCTGCTCTGGCTTCTGGACAGAGTCCATGAAGATCTCCACAATTTAGTGAAGAACAGTGATGGGAGAGCGTCTGTGAAGGTGAAGCACTCTCTTTTGGAGCCCGTTTGCTCTTGGCTTGGTTGCAAAAGAGCCCCGTGGAGAGAAGGATGGCAATCCAGAAGATGAATTGCACCACTGGGTTGCCTTGGGCCGTTGTGTGCTTTGCGTTCCTTGCTGAATGTCCTGCTGGGATCACAAAAGGCCTGTACACAAAAGAGGCTTACTGGGAGGCAGACCTTTGGGTGTTTTAGGTTCCCCAGTGTCATTCTTGTGGATTTTCAGAAAGTCTTGGCTTTCGGGTTGCCCTCGGGGCTCACGTTACTGGATCCCTGACTGTCCCCGCACTGACCGGCCTTCCTGAATCCCTTTTGTTTTAGCTACCATTAGAAGAAGATTCCCTGATTGAGGGAAGCCTCTTGCCAGTCAACAGCACTTTCGTTCAGGAACTCTTTCAAGCTCAGTACAGGTGAGGCGCCCTCCTGCTTTCTGCTCACCTGGCTTCAGCCTGAAATAAAGACCATTGGCCGAGTTCCTCAGACCCAGCAAGTAGGGCTGCTGCTGGGCTGCGCTACCTGTCCGTTCTGTCCCTGGGACTTGCGAGCTGGAAGGCCGCTTGAGCTCTGCAACAGCACGTGGTGGGTGGCCTTGGTTTCCTGAGCATCCTTTTGGCTCTATTTCCCACCGACGGAAGCTGAGGGGCGTCTGTCCCAGCTCAGCCTGCCATGCATCTAACAGCAGGTGATGCTTTCATGTGAAGGTGTCAGTGCAAAGGCCAGCTTGGGCCTTCCTCTACGCATTTTGTAATGATTTCATCTTCTTCTTCTTTTGATGCGGTATTTACTTCCCTTCCACTGTCGGAGGTTAATTGAACTTTTGGCCACGGGCAATGGTGGGGAGTGGGAGGGCTTCTTATCAGCAGGGGCTCCCCTCGATTGATCGATAGCTTCTCTGGGCAAGGCTTCACGGCAGGGGGTCAAGAAAAAAGGGGGCTTTTCTGTTCCCAGGTCATCCTTGACATGTCCTCATTGCCAGAAGCAGAGCAACACTTTCGATCCTTTCCTCTGCATTTCTCTGCCAATCCCGCTGCCTCACACACGGTAGGTCTGCATGACCGGGATTGCCTCACCTGAACAGGTGGGGAGTGAAACAAAGCAGAAGCCCAGCACGAGGAGCTCTGGGGGACGTATGGGAGAGAGCTGGTCTTTCCCTCGCCCCTCTGGCTGGTCTGAGAGATGGACCCCTTCCGGTGTGGGAGGGGGCCGCTCAGCAGCCTTTTTGGCTCTCTGCAGCCCGCTGTACATTACCGTGGTCTATCGAGGGAAGTGTTCCCACTGCATGCGCATTGGAGTGGCTGTGCCTTTGTCCGGAACGGTGGCCCAACTGAGGGAAGCGGTGGCCAGAGAAACCAAAATACCTGCCAAACAGGTAAGGGAGGAGGGTATTTGGGTGGTTCTCCCTCCCAACCAGACTACTCTCCTCTGTCTGTTGAGCCTCCCATAGGTGAGCAGATGCTCAAGGCTGCCTGTTTCCTTTCCACCTGCTTGGGAGGTGGAACCAGCTCTGAGCAGAGGCATATCCAGCTAGGCTGATGGTGTGTCTCCATAGGAAAGAAAGGGAAATCAGGTGGCCGTGTTCATGGTGCCTTTACAGCCTTTATGTCTGGAGCCGGACAGTTCTGGACACATCCAAGATAGTTCATGACTTAATTATGGTATGAGACAATAGCAACATCAAGACTCTTGTATACCACTCTGTAGTGCTTTACAGCACTTTCTGGGTGGTTTACAATGAAGAAACATTTGCACGTTGCCCCCAACAATCTGGGTCCTTATTTTACCGAACCTAGAACCAATCACGATTGAACTGCTGGCAGTCGGCAGAGTCAGCCTGCAATACCGCATTTTAACTACTGTCTCAGCAGATAAATTCTTAGAAGAGGCACCACAGCCATCTCCAAATTGGGGTGGGGGGTGGGGCAATAGAGCCCAAGACAGTGCGGCTTTTGGTCTTTCCTGAAAGGCTGGACTAATTCGGCATTTGGTCAGGCCGACTTAATCTAAGCGCCGAGTCTTGGTGCCTCGAGTTAGAGGAAGGGGGCCTGAGCCTGAGGCCCTGCTGCACCCCTTCGCTCTGGCCCTGCTGCTGTGCACGTGCTGCTCGGCTGGGCCACGTTGCGAGAGAAACAGGACTGTCCTCTCTGGGCCTCTGCAGATTGTGCTCACGGAGATGTATTATGATGGCTTCCATCGCTCTTTCTCTGACTTGGACGACCTTGACACGGTGCAAGAGAGCGACTGTATCTTTGCCTTTGAGACCCCGGAGATCTTCTGGCCAGAAGGGATCCTAAGCCAGAGAGGTATGTCGACCTGTGGGGTCTCTGGGATCTCTGGGCAACGACGGTTGGGAGGGCTGGGTGGGGGTTCCCTTGCTTTGGTCCACAGTTTGGCCTTGGATCTCCGGACTTCTGTTCGTTCCAGAGAAGGTCGCATTTTGGCCTTCCATCCCATCACTTAAGCGCTTTCTGTCCAGTCCAGATTTGGGAAGCGGAGCTGGGCCTTCTGCTCTGGGCATCTCTGATGAAACTCTCCTTGCTCTCTTCCAGGAATCCACACCAACGCTAATCTGAACCACTTGAAATACAGCCTCGACCATGCCAAGTCGCCCACTTATGCCCAGGCCACGTTGGAGAGCGGCAGTGCCCGGACAACAGCGGGAGCTGCTGCTCTGAGCGACAAGCTTGTGGTCCTGGTGTGTAACAGAGCCTGCAGTGGTCAGCAGGGAAAGCGGTAAGGCCGGAGGCCTGGCTGCCCCAAGAGGAACTCTGAGGCCCTTCCGGACACGCTTCTTTACCTTGGTCTGAATCTGTGAAGGTGGCACAGGGCCTGGTCACTGGCAGTCCTATCGGGCAGGATTGACAGGCGCCGGGTCCCTTCGGTTAAACGGTGCCACCTGTTGGGGCTCCTCTCTTACAGCCCCCGCCCTCTGGAATGAAGCCCCCCCCCAAGATTGGAATGACCTCCCCCCCCATGGTGTTTCCAAGGGTCCCGAAGGCCATTTTCTCCTTTTTGTTTGTTCTCATCTGGCTTTATCATTCCTACCATCTTTATTCTTGTTTGCTTTCTTTATTCCTTTTAAAAATGTTTTTGGCAATGTATAAACCAGGGGTTCTCAACCTTGGCAACTTTAAGACTTGTGGACTTCAACTCCCAGAATTCCTCAGCCAGCTTTACTGGCTGAGGAATTCTGGGAGTTGAAGTCCACAAGTCTTAAAGTTGCCAAGGTTGAGAACCCCTGGAACTGTCCATAATCTTTGGGAGATGGCGGTGAGTCTTCCATTAACAACGAATATTTTGTTATAATTGTGCTGAAAAGGCCCAGCAGTGGGCCGAGTCCTGATTCTCGATTCTTTTGACCTGTGGGCAGATCGGATTCCCTGGAGAAGGACGTAAAGGCCTTTATGCATTTTGTAAGGGATCCCAGAAAGAACCGAGATGGCTCAGCTGCAGTGGGCAAAGCCAGCAGGAAGTCGATAGGTTGTATGTTGCATTCATAGAAGCATCCAAACGGAGGGAGTTGTACGTCATGGTCTGGGTGACGCTTTTAAAAAAGACATTGCCAGCCCAGCACCCATACTCAGAACTGAGTTTAACTGGGACGGACAGGTAGTCTCTTGACTTATGACTGGTTGCTTAGCAACCATTCATAGTTACGATGGACCCTGACCTGGTTCCCAAGTTCTGATGTCTGGATCCCCTCTGTGATCACGTGACCGCATTTTGGCAACTGGTCCTAATTTATGACTCTTTGTGCCATCCCTCAGCCATGCGACTGTGATGTACAACACTTTTTCCAGAAATTGGCATTTACTTCTGATTTCCGGCAAAAAAAATGCACCATAGCAATCAACGGGGTGTGTGTGTGTGTGTTGCTGCAAAAAGGTCATAAAATCAGGGTGGGGGTCAAGTGATGACCCACATTATGATTCCGGTGATTTACAACAAATGGGCTTCTCTGTACCTTTTGGTTTCAACCAGTTGCTCTGGCATGGACTGTGGGGGGGGGAGGCAGGGGGCAGGCCCATTTCATCTGGGGAGGCTGGAGATTTGTGGCCAGGGCTTTTTGGGGGGGGGACAAGTTTCCACTGCTAAAAATGCTTTATAGAAATGTATTACTACGTTCGTTCATTCATTCATTCATTCATTCATTCATTCATTCATTCATAATAGCCTCCCATCTCAACCAGTGACTCTAAATCAGTGGTTCTCAACCTTTTTAATGCCGCGACCCCCAACCGGTCGTAAGTCGAGGACTACTCAACCGGTTGTAAGTCGAGGACTACTCAACTGGTGCAGCACCGTTTGCAGAAGGGGACTTTTGGCGGGCTCAGCAGGGAAGAGACAGCCTGGACAATTCCTATTGGCTTTTGAAAGCCAATAGAATTAGACTCTATTCAAGAGAGTCTATTCTATTGGCTTTCAAAAGCCAATAGAATAAAAGGGAGTAGCACAGCCAAGGAAAAGGGGGAAAAATGGTGGACTGCATTGTTTGGCGACCCCCGTGAAATGGTCGTTCGACCCCAAATGGGGTCCCGACCCACAGGTTGAGAACCACTGCTTTAAATTAAACAGTTAAAACAACGCAAAAAAGAAATTAAAAACAGTCAGCAACCAAGTCAGCTATTATGCTGGTCGTCCTCGACTTACAATAATTCGTTTACTGACAATTCGAACTTACTTTGGCATTGAAAATGTCTTAGGACCATTTTTCACACTTAACAATCGTTGCAGCATCCCCATGATCACATGATCAAAATTCAGATGCTTGGCCACTGACTCACATTTATGGCGGTCGCAGCATCCGGGGATTTGTGTGTCACGTCATCCCCTTTTGCGACCTTCTGACAAGCAAAGTCAATGGGGGGAGCCAGATTCACTTAACAGCTGGGTTACTAGCTTAGTTACGTTGATTCTAACAGTTACATTGATTCACTTAACAACTGTGGCAAGGTGGGTCATAAAGTAGGGCAAAATTCACTTAACAACTGTCTTGCTCAGCAACAGTGTCAACATAGCCAGGAAATGGGACCCTTCACACACTTGCGACCCCAGACTGCATTACACAGCCAGTTGTTTTGAAGACTTGTGAAAGACCAACAGGGTGGGGCTCATTCTGATCTCCAGAAGGGAATGTTTCAGGGGGGAGGGGGGGCTATAGCAGAGAAGGCACCTCCCCGCTAGCCAACATTCCTTGGCTGATGGGACCCACAGGTTCCCCATCCTGCTGGCCCAAATTGGACAGGTAGAAAGGGCTGGGAGAAGATGGTTCCCTTGAATAACTTGTTCCCCAAACCACAAACAGCTTTAAAGGTGACCACTTGATTCCCTGGGAAAGCCTCCATGGTTTCATACAATTGCACCCGGAAACACGCTGTCAGCCAACGCAGCTCACGAAACAGTGAGGTTAACGTGTGTTGAATATCCGACATCATTTACTATCCCTGCAGCTGCATTCTGTACCGGTTGAGTGCTCTTCAAGGGCAGCCCCATGTAGAGCACATTGCAGTACTCCAGCCAGAAGGTCACAAGGGCACGAGTGACTGAGCCAAACATCCTGAAGATACCAAAGTGCAATCTCAGAAGTGCTGTTGAACTTGGAATTCATTAATTTTATATCGCTTGTAAGATTACGTTTTCAGTTGGCTTGCGGTAAACTTTCTCTCTCTCTCTCTCTCTCTCTCTCTCTCTCTCTCTCACACACACACACACACACACACACACACGGGGAGCTCAATTATTGGGTGGGTTCTGCCATGTTTTTTCCTCTTTGTGCTGCTCTTTTGTCAGGTTCGGCCAGCCCTTTGTGCTGCATTTGGAGAAGACCATCCCTTGGGATCTTCTGCAGAAGGAGATCTTGGAGAAGATGCAGTATTTTCTGCGCCCCTCAGCCTGCATTCAGGTATGGGCCCCTCCCTTTGGCCCTGGGCCTGGAGCCAGGAGGGGGAGCTGGTCTCCACAGTCACCAACTTAATGCAACACACTGTTTACAGATTTACAGTAATTGGCATTACTAAAACACCTCCCTCCCTCCTATGTTCTCAGCCATAACCCTGATAAGTTGTGTCAATCAAAATGCAAAAGAATGAAAAATCTGTAACAAAATGCTGGGTGGAGATTAGGTAATACATTGTTGGACATCACAACAGTGGGGAAGCCGAGGCACCCCTAAGATTTCTGTCCTTCTGGCTCAATTCTGAGCAGTCCCGGAGGGGCCCCTAAAGGAAAGAAGCTCGATTGCAGAGTGAAATTGCAAAAGGCTTGAACGTGTGGGATGCAGCTGCCCCTTGACTTGCAACTGCAATTCAGCCTGGCAGTTTTTGCTGGAAACTGGAAGTGAATGCTGGTTCCTGGTGAAAACGCCATAAAGCCTAAGTCACGTGACTGCAGAATGTTTCAAGCGGCCACAAAATTGGGCTGGTTGCAAGTATCCAAAATGCGGTCATGTGACTGCATGTGTGTGTGTGTGTCCCCTCATTTGTTGGAACTTTGGGTTGTAAGAAGCTTTGGGGGGGGGGGTCTGTGGTAACTTTAAGTTGAGGACTATCTGTATTTTTGGGAGGGCCTCTGGATTCCATATTCCAGCCATTTAACTTTGGGCCTGAGCCCGGGAACGATCCCTTGCCTCTGCCCATCCTCTGAGAAGTCCGCCCTCTCCTCCCCTCCCACACAGGTGTGTCCCTTCAGCTTGCGAGTGGTCAGTGCTGTGGGCATCACGTACCTCTTGCCGCAGGAAGAGCGGCCTCTCTGCCACCTGATGGTGGAACGGTGAGCGGGATGAAGCTCTTCCCTCGGGCCCTCCTTCTCACGTGGAGGGGGGCTGCTGAGGACCTGCCCCCCCGTCTTTGCAGGGTCTCTGGGGCGGCAACGGCATGGAGTCCAGCTGCTTCTCCAAAGGGCACCTGCCCTCTTCCCCCCAGGGTGGCACCCATTGAAAGGGCTGATCTTGATGGGTGTGGTGGGCGCTTCCCTTAGATTCTGTTCCGTTTGCAGAACCTTGAAGTCTTGTGGGACAGGCGGAACCCCCCACGTGAAGTTGGTGGTCGAATGGGACAAGGAGACGAAAGACTAGTAAGGAAGGGCCGGGCTTTGCGGGGCGCTTGCTGCAGACTCTGATCGAGAGGCCCATGGGGTCCTCGGTACTGCTCTGCAGGGCTGCCCCTTCTCCCCCAAAGCGGCTGCTGGCAGGGGCAGCGAGGCGGGTGGCATATCTGGGAGGCCTCAGCCAGCCTTCCAGATGATGTTCAGAGGAGTCCATGAAACCAAGAGGTGCGCCTTTTTGGTGGTGGCCCCTGCCCTTTGGACCGATCTCCCCTTCCCCCCCCCAATACACTGTTGGCCCCGATCCTGCGGGCCTTGCAAAGGCAGCTGAGCTCATTCCCAGGCAGAGCCGCCCATTGGAGAGAATCGGACGTTCCCGTCCTGATTGCCGTTGAATTCTTTCGGGCTGGTGCTTGCCTGCTGTGGGCTGTTTTTCTTTCTTCCTGCTTCCTGGTCTGGTGTGCTGCCCAGAGTGTCGCTCTTTCAGCTGGGCGGCCATCGAAAGAAACGGGAGCCAAATGCCCTCTTTGCTCCTGCGTGTTGCAGCTTGGTCATCAACACTGAAGATGAGTACATCCCTGATGCCGAGAGTGTCCGCCAGCAGAGGGCGCTGCACCAGCAGCCGCTGTCCTGCACCTTAGCCCAGTGTTTCCAGCTCTACACCAAAGAGGAGCAGGTAGGTCAGTGGCCCCGCAGGTCCTCTGGGAAGCTTTGCCCCTCCCCGGCTCTCTCCGTTCAAACATGCCCGCCCCCAAAGCTTTCCTGCGTAGTCCTACCCCCTTCTCAGCTTTGTCTGATTTGCTATGGGAAATAGCATTGAATTCAGTGCTTTGCAGCCTGGAGGGGGCAGCTGGGAGGAGGACCGCGTGTTACTTGCTCCGGCAGCGGATCTCCTCTGAAGGGCCAGGAGAAGCACGGCAGGGTTGCACGAAGGGCTGGGCCACTCCCTGCCTTCTAGCCTGGCCATGGCTGTGCTCCGCTCACTCTGCCTTGCTTGGAAGAAGGGGCTTGTAGGGCCAGGGAAGGGCTCCTGTAGCTCCTCTGACTGCCTCCGCCCACGCTTCCAGCTGGCCCCCGATGATGCCTGGCGCTGCCCTCACTGCAAGCAGCTGCAGCAAGGAAGCATCAGCCTGAGCCTCTGGACGCTGCCGGACGTGCTAATCATTCACTTGAAGCGCTTCCGACAGGTGAGGGGGGCTGCCTTGGGCCTCCTCTATGGCCAGGACCGGTCGGGGAGCTGCCCCTGGGTCTGCCTGGTGCAGCGCCGGCTGGTGATGCCCCCCCTTCTCCCTCTTCACCAGGAAGGAGACCGGCGCATGAAGCTTCAGAACATGGTCCGCTTTCCCCTGACCGGCCTTGACATGACCCCTCACGTGGTCAAGCGAAGCCAGAGCAGCTGGAGCCTGCCCTCCCACTGGTCCCCCTGGAGGCGCCCCTACGGCCTGGGCAGAGACCCAGAGGACTTCATCTACGACCTGTATGCGGTGTGCAACCACCATGGCACCATGCAGGGGGGGCACTACACAGGTGACTGAGCTGCTGCAGCCTTTCGGCATCATGGGTGACCCTTCTCCTGGGAGGGCCTTCCGTTGTCAGGGCCTGTTCCATCTCCCCCCAGCTAGATCACGGCTCGGACCCCTTTGATCCCCAGCAGAGCCTTTCAAGGGCCCTCCCCCTGGGGGTTTTTTTCCTGAGTGGGGTGCCCCTCAGCTTGGGCGAGCTCCTTTCCTCCTCCCTGCTTGGGGGGCTGTGGTGGGCCATGTTGCCTTTGGGAGCCCAGCCCGAGAGGCTGCTGAGGGCGGCTGTCTCCGATGCAACCGTCTCTTGCAGCCTACTGCAAGAACTCCGTTGATGGCCTCTGGTACTGCTTTGATGACAGCGAGGTCCAGCAGTTGGCCGAGAACGAGGTGTGCAAGCCCACTGCCTACATCCTCTTCTACCAGAGGCGGACGGCCATTCCCGCCTGGTCAGCCAACAGTTCCGTGGCAGGTAAGAGCAGGAGCTGCTGCCGCCCTTCCCAGCCATCTTTGCAGGTCACAAGGTCGGAGTCTTTCCTTCTGACACTCAGCAAGGCCTCGGCCGGGCCCCTCTCCTGCCTGGCCCCTCTTTCCCGGCCAACCAAGCGACTCAGAGGGGGGCCCTGCAAGGAGATCTGGCCATCAGCTGCCTGAGTCAGTGGTCCTGTTAGGACCCTACGCTGACCCGAAAACAAAGATGCTTCTCTTGAACTGTGGCCCCTCGGGCTGTGCCCCGCCTGACCTTTTCTTACGACAGGTTCCACCAGCTCCTCCTTGTGTGAGCACTGGGTGAGTCGGCTACCGGGCAGCAAACCGCCCAGCGTGGCCTCAGCGGCTTCCTCCAGGCGCACTTCGCTGGCTTCCCTCTCGGAGTCGGTGGAGCTGATGGGGGAGCGGAGTGAGGATGATGGTGCGTACACGAGGGGAGGGCTCTTGGGGACTGGCTTCCTTCCCAGCACTGGGGGCGAGCCTTTCGCCCCTGCTGCTCAGCCCCTGACAGGGAACTGTGCCGGCCTCGGTCCAGGAGGACGAGGAGGGCGCCGGGCTCCCTGCGTGGGGAAGGCCAAAGCGACGGGGTGACTTCTGCCTTTGTGCCTTGCAGGAGGGTTTTCGACTCGGCCCTTTGTGAGGAGCGTCCAGCGCCAGAACCTGTCTTCCAGATCCTCGGTGACCAGCCCTTTGGCCACCAACGAAAATGGGGTCCGCCCGTCGTGGTCCCTCTCCGCCAAGCTGCAGATGCGCTCCAACTCGGCTTCTCCTGTCCATGGATCCTCCGCCACCCTGGAGAGAATCGGAGAGTCGGCCGATGACCGTGTGGCCACCTCCTGCTTTGGCAGCCGGCGGAGTCTCTCCGGCAGCCCCCTGGAGCCCAGGGAAGCAGGAGGCAGCCACCACAGCCAGCAGGACTCTCGGACGCTCGGCAGGGCCCCCCTGGCAGTCATGGAAGGGATCTTCAGAGACGATGCTCCAGCGTGGAAAGCCCCCGGCAAGACAGGCCTGCAGACGAACAGGAACAGATCCCCTCTGGGTCCCTTTGACAACAACAACCAGATCGCCTTCGTTGACCAGAGCGACTCTGTGGAAAGCTCTCCGGTCAAGGACAGTCAGAACTTTGGCTGGCTGGCCAAGCCGGACGGTGGCAGCCCTCTCCAGGCCCCTCCCTCCCAAGACGGCCATGGGCAGGGCAGCGGCTTGAAGTCAGGGCGGGCAGTCTTGTCCAGCCAGGATTCCCTGACATCTCACCGGTCGGTCGCTTCCCCCCCTCCCTCCAAGGCCTTGCCAAAGGCGCCCCGTTCCCGGAGCAAGCTGGACTCGTGCAGGGCCAGTGGGCGCCCTGGTTCTCCTGCGGCCAGGCCGGGCAAGAAAGACGCTGGCATGAAGGGCCCCGAGGCCGCCTCTGCCACCTCCACCCAGCAGAAGCACCGGCCAGTTTCCTTGCCGTCTTCCTCCGCAGCGGCCAGAAGGAGCTCTGGGGGCTCTGTGCGGGGACACCCCCCCTCGGGCAAGAGCAGGACTTCAGAGCGCGGCCTCAGCAGGGAGGGCTCCAAGCTGAGCATGGGCTTGGAGAAGACGGGCGGGGCCGCCAGCCCACGCACAAACTCTCCCCGGCTGGGCCAGGCGCGCGGGGAGGGCAGGGCCCCCGAGGGCAAGCACGTGCGCAGCACCTCCCTGGCCAGCCTGCGCTCGCCCAGCACCGGGTCCCGGTCCAGCCTGAAGAGGGACAGCAAGTCGGAGGAGAAAGGCTTGTCCTTCTTCAAGTCTGCCCTCCGCCAGAAGGAGACCCGCCGGTCAGCTGACCTGGGCAAGACCACCCTGCTGGCCAAAAAGACGGGGGGCGGCTCCTGCAAGGCTGCGGGGAAGACCCTCTCGGAGGAGAAGCCTCTGGAGAAGGCAACACTCCCTAATGCCAACGTGGCTGCCAAAGACCCCCTGCTGCCCGGCAAACGCTCCCTGCTGACCACTTGCAAATTACAGTCTTCCCAGCCGGAGGGCAGCCCTAAGTCCCCTGGAGGGGGCAGGCCAGCCATCAACAAGGCTGTGCCCAGGCTCCCCCCGGCAGTGCCCTCCTCCACCCGCGCACCTTCCCTGTCACCGTGATCTGCTGCTGCTCAGCTGCCCCAGAGGGGAGACCTTGCTGCTGAGGCCCCTCCTGGTTTCGTCCTCGTGCCAGGTCCCCATGGCTACTTGCAGGGCTGCCCAGGGATCCTCCACGGCCTGTCCGGGGAGCCCTCCGGGAGTGCCCATCTGGCCAGGTGTCCTCTCCTGGGGCTGGCCAGGGCAGATGGCGGCGCAGCTCTGTGAGCTGAGAAGACCCGCGAGGGAGCCCGGGTCACAAGCGGACTCCTGGTTCTGCTGTGCTACCCTCCCTCCTTGGCTCCCCACGTCGCAAGCTTCCCCCAGGGCAATATCTTAGCGCTTACATTATTTCTCAGGTATATGCTCAGCCAGAACTAGGAGGAACCGAAGACTCTGAGGAAGGTGCCTTTCTCTCTCTCTCTCTCTCTCTCTCTCTCTCTCTCTCTCTCTCTCTCTCCCTCTCTCTCTCAGTGTCTATCTTTCCCCTCTTTTCACATTCTTTTCATTCTGAGGGGCTTCTGTTGGTGTATATGTTGCTGCCCAGGAGCTCTTTGGGCCCTCCAGAGCAGGGGAGGGGAGCCGTGGGTAGGATGAGGACAGTCCCAAGAGGAGGGGGCTGTGGAAGGCAGGCTCTGTGCTGTCCCTGGAAGGGTGGGCCAACTCCATCCCCTTGGAGGGACAGTGGCTGGCAGGGCTTCTGGCGGGAGGGGCCTTCTGCTTCGGGGAGCCAACTGGATCAGGCTCTTCATCTTCTTGCTGCTTCTCCTGTGGGTGGCTCTTCAGCCCAAGATGCCATCTTGCCCCAGCTCTCTCTGGAACCAGAATTGTGTCTTCTGCCCCATGTTTTTCATTCTGTTTCCATGGCAGTCCTGGATGCTTTGGGCTTCTGCGCCTTCCTTGTTCTTTCTTGCTTATCTATTCCCGAACATCCTCCGTGTCCGCTGGCTGGGTACGGACATGCGGAAAGGAAGGATGTTTTGGATCTTCTTGTATTCTGGATGGCAGGTGCGCTCCTTCCCCGTGCAAAGTAGTAGCAGGAGCTGTGGTTTTCTTGCTGCGTCTGCAGGTTCCTCCAGTTGAAGTGAGCCCGTCCCTCTGTGGTGGACTCTCTAAGTGCCTCTTTGGCTGCTCTGCAGGGGCTCGATCTTTGCCCTGGCAACTCTAGAAGGAGGCTGTTCCCCTGGGCTTCGTCTGCCCCCTCCTCAGTCTTGGGTTAGATCTCTGTAAGCAAGCGTGTTAAGGAGCCACTCACTTTCTGCACCTCCTAGGAAGGCAAGAGGCAGCTCCCTTCACATGTTAAAGGAACTTCCAGGAAGACCTCTCCAACTCTGTAGGGCTCCTGGTGGGGGCAAAGAATTGTAGGCTGGTCTCTGTTCATGTGAGGCACAACGTGTGCGTGCGTGTGCATATTTGCTGTAGCGGTAGTTCATGGATGTGCAGCAAGGAGGAGGAGAGCCTGTGGGTGTAGGAGTCTACTTGACCCTTGGAAGTGTCTGTCCCCTGTTCTTTTTTGTGGAGTAACACCAGCTTGCTTGGAGCAGTCTTCTAAAGCTCTCAGTGGCCACTGTTTGGAATCTCTTAGGGTGGGGACCTACTCTTGATTGTGGATCTCCTTTGATTGAGATAGAGGCCCATTTGTTCTTGAGGTCCTCTGTTGCCAACATTGTCATCTAGGGCATCTGTCTGAACAAGCTGGCCTAAGAATCAAGGTGTTGTGTTGATTGTGTGGCACTAGAATATTCTATCTAGAAAGCCTCTTGAGGTCTTGGGATTGGGTAGGGTGGGGGTGGTGATTGGTAGCAACTAATTCTGGCATCCTTCAAAGAGGATGGGAACCGCGTTCATCCTCAGCGGGCACATTTCTTCCTTGTGTGGTCATCCTTCCAGCATTGAAGAGTTCAATTCTCATCCCAGAAGGCTTTCTTCTTCTTTCTTTCTTCTGTTCTTTCTGATTAGGTTGGTGTTAATTTGTACCTTGTTCTGTTCAGAAGAGGTACCTTGAGCACTTCACATTACTTGTCCTCCATACGCCACACAGAGCCTTTGCAACTAACTTTGCAGCCATTGCTTACACACAGCTGAGGCTCAGATCAGTTCAGAGAAGTGTTGGGATGGGAAACCTCCACGCTCCAGGAGTGACTTAATTCTGCAGACAGTTCTGTGCTTGGCAATCACATCTGGGATGCTGAGCATGGCCAGCTACTTTCCCCCTACTACTGAAGTTAAATTTGCATGGTATCGCTCAGCTGTTCCCTATGCATGCCCATATTAAGTATGCAAACAGCTCTTGCAAGCTAAAATAAAATACACTATGGCAAGGATAGGCACCCCGTTTTCCTTCTGGTGTTTCTAAGTTGCAGCTCCCAGCTTCCCTTGCTGTGGGCCGTGTCACCTCAGCATGGCAGAGGCTGTCTGGAGGCTGCAGCTCAGCCATCCTGGGCTGTGTTGCAAGGATTCTGGATGGGGTCTCTGTCCAAGCTGTGCTGGATGCATCTGAGGAGCCCACGGCCTTCGTTCCCTGCTTTGTGGGCTCCCAAAGCTTCCTTTCTGTGACCCTTGGCTGACTTCTGTGGATATAAAACTTAGCTGTGAAATTCTTCAAAGAAAGGAGGCAGCTTCTCTCATTGTCAGTTATGTTTGTCTTTCTAAGCAAGAGAACCTATGCAGCTTTTACCCCAGACCCATCCTGACCCACCTTTCGTTGCGTGGCTTCATGAACATTGTCAGCCCCTGGCAGGTCCTGCACTGGGGATGCCAACCACCTCCCCGTGGCCCAGGAAGGCAGAGCTTCATCCTGGCCAGGGGGAGCTGGCGGTTTGGCTACAGCCTGCAGAGGAGGGGCCTAGGAATGGCCCCAGGCAGGCCCATTGGGCCCCGCTGCCCAGGACAGGCCTGATCTGCTTAGCCGTTCCGGAAACCCCCTCGGGGCCAGAAGGCATTTGTGCTTGGAAATTCCAGCTGAAATTAACGTTTGTGGGAAAATCTTTTTTTGCTCATTCCCGTATTAATCTGCCGATGGGTCCAACATAACCACACAAGCAACTAAAATTTAGTTTTAATCTTTGGTGAGTTGACCCGAGGGTTTTTCTTCACTGGCCCGAGAGCTGAACTTGAGAGACTTAAAGAGGAGAGCGGAGTTTGCCACGCGTGGAAGTCGTGGAAATTCCTGAGGGTCCTGGAAGCATTTTTGAGCTCAGCCGGTCCCCTCGCCTTTGATTCCGCCGTCTCCAGAAGGGGCAGCCGGAGATTCCACCGGCGTGCAGCCCCAGCTCACCTTTGGCTAAAACTAGATGCTCAACCCGATGAGTCAACCGTGGCAACCCGAGATGTGTGTGAGGAGCTGCATGCGTTCCTCCCCTTCCCCGCTGCTGACTTTGATATGTGATCAGAGTTTCCCTCTTTTTTTTAAATCTGTACAATCCACTGGGGGGGAGGCTGTGTCTCCTTCCAGAAGGGGTTTTAACTTATTTCAGAGCAAGTGCATGAGAGTGTGTCAATGCCTTTTATTTATTTGTATGCACTTTTAATATGCAGAATTTATATTTTTATGTTTTGAAAATAATTTCCTTTCCTGAAGAAGAGTTTGGATACAAGAGATTGGATGATTAACCGTGAAAAATGTAATAATAGTACAATAAATTTACAGTGTACAAGGCCTTGCATGAGGGAAAGTGTTTTTCTTCAAACTTCACACGCACACCCCGCCGTTAAAAGATAATGGAAAAATCTCCCTCAAGTGGAGCTAGAATTCAGTCCTTGCATAGATAGATATGGATCATGTTTTTAGCAATAATATGTAAATGATTTACCACTGTTTATTTATTTATGAGACTTATATACCGCTTTAAGTGCAAGCACTCTCTAAGCAGTGTACACCAGTAAGCAATGTATATCTATATTTACATTGCCCCCAACAATCTGGGTCCTCATTTTACCTACCCCGGAAGGATGGAAGGCTGAGTCAACCTTGAGCCGGTGAGATTTGAACCGCTGACCTGCTGAACACAGTCAGCTAAAGTGGCCTGCAGGACTACACTCTAACTGCTGCGCCACCTCGGCTCATTATGTTTCGTTTGGATGCATTTTTTCAACTCCCTAGTCCAAAATCGCCAAACTGCAGAACATCTGGCTGGGAGAGACTGGGGCCAGTTTAGTCCAGCTCCCCACCCAGTGCAGTCCTGGGACTCCCGCGTCAGCCTTGAGTCCTTCCAGGATCAGACCTGGTTTCTCCTGGGCTGTCCAGGTCCCTGAGACCCTCAGGGTAAAGTGTAATGATTCCTCTCCCCCCCCCTCCGTAGCTCTTCTTCTCAAGTAAGATAGCTGATAATAATGAGCAAAATGTCAGGTTTCCCAGATTTATCCATCTGCCTGGAGAAACGGATTGACGCGTCTTTCCTAAAATGTTCTTCTACCCTGTGTAAAACGATGAGAAACGCTCTCTGCTGCATCCTCCTCCTTTGCTCTCGGGAGATGGCTCAGGCCAGAGAACTTTCAACCAGCGCACCGTGGAAGTTAACAGAATGAGAGAGTCAGAAGGGACCCTGGAGGTCTTCCAGTCCAACCCCTGCTCAAGCAGGAGACCTTATACCATTTCTAACAAACGGCTGTCCAATCTCCAGGTTCTGCTGAGTCACTTGAACCAAAGCCCAGAGTTCGTTTCAGCCAAAACAAAATCCGAGAGATTCAGTGAGGATTTCAGAAGCGGGTTGGGCAAGGATTGGTTGCCCCCTCTCCCTCCCTCTGCAGGCCTGCCCCCTCCCCATCTTCCAGCACTTTCCCCCTTCCCTGCCACTCAGCATCTCCCAAAGACCCCACCCAGCCAGTTTTGTCTTCCACCTTTCAACCCTGCTGCTTTCTGCATAGGGAGTGTGGGTACCTTGGTTTGGGCAGAGCACCCCAGACCCCCCCCTGCTCTGGGCACAGAGGCGCTTCTGTCTCTGGTGGGGGGGTCTCTCGTGCTCCTGGCGGCTCTCTTTAAGCCTGGGCTCCGTAAGCAGGTCCCAGAATTCCAGAGAAGGCCCAGTCTGCAAGCTCTGAGCCAATATTACGCCTGTGAAAGCACTAATTTCCCGTGATAATTTCCATGATTGTAAAACCACACACACACACAGACTTATTGTAAGGACCCACCCCACTTTGCATCTTAAGAAGACAGAACTCTTGGAATAATTCTTCCAACAGGAATCCTTTATTAAGAGAAAATGGTTGCAGGCGTTCTATACAGGACTTGGGGTCCAAGCTCTCCCATTCGAGGTTTTAAGGGGTTCCCCAGTAGTCCCACCCAATCACCCCCCTCTTCCAGTGACAGGTTCAGGCATCACAATCCCACCCCTTTTTTCCTTTCTGCCGGCTGGATGGAGACTTCAGAGAAAACTACATGAAAGGTAAATAGCCGCCTTTGTTATGATAAGGCCTTTTGGTGCTATCCACATTCAATCCCTTTGAAGTTGTACCGAAGTGAGGGCCATAAAGCCCCTTTGTTCACCCCCTTCTCTTTCTTGTATGACAGAATCCAGAGAGGGCAGAAATGGGGTTTTCTATAATTGATCTGGAGATGAAGTATAATTGGATTCTGACATCTTATTTTTTAAACAGACTCCTGTAGCACATAGGATTTTCTTTTCTTTCGTATTGCAAGAAGCCTGTGCAGAATACAACTAAGTTTTTCTCTCGGAATTTCTACGGGGGTCTCTTGCTTCTGGGACTGAGTTTGCTTCCACACCTTATTGTCCATCTCTCCTTGGAATGCCTTTCTTCCCCCCTTGAGGGAGTACCCTTTTAAAGTGCTTACCTTTTTAATAATGTATTGAATATTATACAGATAAAACTAATACTATCTACACAGTATAAAATACATAAAACAAAAATTATTAAAAGGGAAAAACCTTAATGACTTATCACTATCTCTTAAATTTTAAAACCTAGCAACTTTTCCTCCATGTCCCCACTCTGTTCTATTCAACCAATCTAAAATTTTAGCTCACCATATTAATCAGCAAAAATCCATTAAGGGTTATAAAAATAATATAAAGTTTAAACTATATCTACTAAACCCAATTTGAATTCTTTTATATTTATACCTCCCCTTCTATTTAAATATACCCTGCCTCAATTCCTCTTCAAATAAAATCTTTAAAGTATCCAGTCCCATCAACAAGACATTACACATTTCCAGAAATTGCAATCCTTTTATTTTAACATTGATCAAATAAACTGATGCTATAGTTTTTTCTCCAGCAATCTTTAGATCCCTGAAACTTCTAATATCTTCTTTGTCATGCACTCTTTGTCTCTTCTCTCAGAATCCTTGGTTTTTTTATCAAGTTCCTTTTATAATTCCAATAGAAAAAAAGTTACCCATTTCACTGTTAATATTTTCACTGTCCCTTAGAAAAAAAATTTGACCGATGTAACAAATCCCTCCTGTAAATCCAATGTAGAGAAATTATCCACATCACACTTCTGGTTTAATACTGGTATGCCTTTTTAAATTACTAAACCATTCAGTTTCATTTGTAAATCCATTATTTCCATTTCTTTCTTATAGGCTATCGCATTCAAATCAGTTTCAATTTTATTCAGAGGGGCTTCTTTTCAATAACACCTAAGTTGTCTTAGTGTAGTAATAACTTTATAATTTCCACTCATCCTACATCACTCTTAAGATACACTCGATGTTAACTGATGCATTTATTCTCTTCTACTGCCCTCTAGTGTCCAACCTTCAAAGTCATCAGTTGTTTCCAAATATAAACAGATATTTTCTTTGGAAAGGATTCTTTCAGTTAACTTCAAAATCTTAAATCAAGTCCAGCTAAGCCAGGGGTATCCAACTTGCAATGTCATGTGATGTGTCGTGACGTATCACAATTTTTTTCCCATTGCCGGCAATGGGGTAGGCGCGGTTTTGGCATGACACATCCGGCCCATGGGTGGGCAGTTTGACACCCCTGAGCTAAGCCCTTAATCCATTTAAAATGTTTAGAAGCCAACAGCAGTTTTCCTAAAATGATAAGAGCCGTGGTGGCACAGTGGTTAGAATGCAGTATTGCAGGCTAATTCTGCTGACTGACTGCTTTCGTTTAGAACCTGTGTTACTGACTGCATGGGATAGCAGCAGCCACTGAGAAAATATATCCTCTCGCTGGCATTGCCCCACCTAAGATCAGGAGAGAAGCAGCAGCAGATGCTTCTAAGCAACTAAGCAACAGAATGATCCTCAACATTGTCCAAATAGACATACGTCCCAATCCTGCCAATTCAGATCTAGGAACAGCTTTGTGGCAAGAACAAACATTCTTGGGGCACACAAGAACAAAATCGAATTAAAAGATGAAGGAAGGAGACCGTTGAGCAAGGAATAATCTGAAAGGAAATGGTTGAAAGATTTGACTTCCTTTATACTACTTGGAAGATCCTGAATAGGTTGAGAATTGGAATGCCTAAATGTAAAATCAATGTGCTCAAGTGGAGGCTCTTAGCGGATAACACGCTGTGCGGATGTGGAGCCAGACAGAGCTTGGCCTATCTGCTTGTGTGTTGACTACCAGAAACATATTGATAATGACTTATTTTTGGCCAACGACAAAGTAAAAAAGGCGGCTTCATTCTGGCAGTTTAAAGTTTGATCTAGACACGGAAGAAGAAGAAGAAGAAGAAGAAGAAGAAGAAGAAGAAGAAGAAGAAGAAGAAGAGGAAGAGGAAGAGGAAGAGGAAGAGGAAGAGGAAGAGGAGGAGGAGGAGGAGGAGGAGGAGGAGGACGACGACCCCCCATGGGCAATTAATTCAACTGGGAAAGTGCCTTGCTGAGTTATTGTTCACTTTTGTCCAGCCTCTCAGCTTCAAGGGCAGGATTGGGTAGGAGACCTCTGGTTTGGTCTCCCTTATTATTTCTGCATGGAAATAGTCACAACGGATATGCTATTGAAATATGGGGTCATCACTCATTCATGGGCAATTGGATTACCATTCTATTAATCTTGCCTTAGGCTGTGCCAGATTAGCTAATGTGCATGTTATTTCTTGCAGAGGTCAATATTTTCCCAATCTTGGAATGCTTTTATGTCTGCTTATTGGATCAGAAATTGCTGGTGGAATGAGAGGATCCCAAGAAGGTCCCTGTGGGCCTTTGAGTTGCGTCCCTATCTGACAGATGTCGTTTCATGAACGTAGCAATGGGGTTGACAAGAACAAATAGGTCACGCGGAAAGCTGAGCATTGATTGCAGTGGAACAGCTGTGCAGCTGCAACAGTGAAGCTTCTTGCAAATAGGACAGCATGTCCCAACCTTGGTAACTTTAAGATATGTGGACTTCAACTCCCAGAATTCCTCTGCCAGCCATGGCTGGCTGGGGAATTCTGGGAATTGAAGTCCACATATTCTGACAAAATGTGATCCACTGGAGAAGGAAATGGCAAACCACTCCAGTATCTTTGCCATGAAAACCCCATGGACAGTACCAAAAGGCAAAAAGATATGACGCTGGAAGATGAGCCCCTCAGGTTGGAAGGTGTCCAATATGCTACTGGGGAAGAGCAAAGGGCTAGTACTAGCAGTGCCAGAAAGAGTGAAGTGACTGGGCCAAAGCCAAAAGGACTCTCAGCTGTGGAGTCCGATGCTGTAAAGATCTTTTCTCCACAGGAACCTGGAATGTAAG